CCCGACACTTAACACTTAACACTATGTTGTCAGGCAGGGCTTCTGATGTATGAATGTTGGGTTGCTTTCAAAGCCTCTAGGTCTCTTTGCTCAGTTAATTTTTTTCTCTCTCTCTCTGTTTCCCTCTGAAACACACACACACACACACACACACACACACACACACACACACACACACTCTATCGACTGACCTGGAATCAAGTCCTGCCTTCTCTTACAATTCCAGCCCTATCTCAGACAAAGTGATGGTGCTGTGGCCTGGCCCCAGTTGGCCTGCCAAAGGCCCAGTGGGTGTCACAACCCAGTCTAGGTGACTCCCAATACCCTCCACTACACCTGACCCCGGCCCCAGTTGTTGCACAAACTGGCAAGTGCTGTAGCCTAACCCAGTCTTCCCAGCATCCCATCTGGCTCTTGTGCCTACCCATGGTGTTGCAGCTTAGCTCAGGCCACCCTCACCCCCAGACCTGGCCAACCTAGCCTGCCCCCAGCCCTGACTCTCATGCTTATCAGTGTCCCTTTGGATTCTTTGGTGATTGCTCCTGGTCTTTGATTGTTTTTGTTTTTAGTTTTGTGCTCTCATTCGGGAATTCTCATCACAAGCTCCTTTCACCACAATTCCCAAGATCTAAAATCTGTGAAAACAGATTGCAAACCTGACCAATGACTCAAAATACAAATTTGTTAGATTCCCCTCCATGTTAGACTATGGAAATGTCAATATGTCAAATGGTTTTTGATTACAGGGACTAGGGGGTTGGGGATCATCGGTGCATGCACTATATCTTTCTGAAATCCCCAGTTCTGAGTCTTGAAGCATGTCTGATGTCCAAGGTTAGGCACAAAGGCTCGTGGATCTGCCCATCTGTCTACCTGTCTTGCATCTTCCTGAAGTGAATCCTCCACCTCCTTTGTTTCATGAATTTTGTATTTCTCCTCCGACTTCTAGATGAAGTTCAAGTCTGTCTTAACTACACTAACTCTTAGCAGCTCTGCCTCCTTGTGGCCTTCCGTTTGGTATTCAGAGTTTCCCCTGTGAAAATCTTCCCAAATGTTTTTCCACTCTGGATCCTCCCTCTGATTTCTTCCTCTATATTGGCCAATGTCCTCTTCATTTAGGCTGTAGGAAGCAGAGGCTGGCTGCTGGAGCACTTAAAATACAAAAACCAGAAATTCATCCGGAAGAGGCTTTAAGCAAAGGGGAGCGGTATTGGGGACAAAGGAGGAGCTGATAAACAAAGGCCAAGTCTTAGGAGCCAAGACTTTGGGACAAACTGAATTAAAGCCAAAGAAACTCGCTTGCGCTCTCTCTCTCTCACCTCACTTCATCTTCAAGTTGGATTTTGATGTAGTTCTTATCCTTTGTCTGTAACCAAAGGTCATAAGAGTTTCTTCCAGCTTCAGGAAAAGACAGGCCTAAGTTAGGCCTCATTCTTGAACCAGTACACTTGACAAGGCTAAGTTTTGTTTTGTTTTACGATTTGTGTTTTTATTGGAAAGACAGATATACAGAGAGAAGGAGAAACAGAGAGGAAGATCTTCTGTCTGCTGATTTACTCTCCCAAGTGGCCATAATGGCCAGAGCTGAGCTGATCCGAAGCCAGGAGCCTCCTCCAGGTCTCCCACACAGGTACAGGGTTGCAAGGCTTTGGCTATCCTCAACTGATCTCCCAGGCCACAGGCAGGGAGCTGGATGGGGAGCAGGGTTGCTGGAATTAGAACCAGCAACCCATGTGGGATCCCGGCACATGCATGGCAAGGACTTTAGCCACTAGGGTTCCGCACTGGGCCCTAAGTTTTTTTCTTTGATTTATTTGAAAGGCACAGGAGAGGCAGAGCTACCTGCTGCTGGCTTATATTCCTACTATTACCAAATTCCCACAACAGCTGGGGCCTGGCCATGTCGGAGCCAGGAGCCTGGAACTCAATCTGGGTCTCTCACCTGGGTGGCGGGGATGTAAGCTCTTGAAGCATCACCTGCTGCCTCCTAGGATGTGCTTTAGCAGGAAGCTATAGTTTGAAATGGAACCAGGATTCAAACTGAACACTCCAGTATTGGATGTGGTAGTCCCAAAGGGCAGCATAATCACTATGCTAAGGGTCCACCCCCAGCTGGGTATTTTAAAATGTGGACTCATGGACCAGCATCCTACATGAGTGCCAGTTTGTGTCCAAGCTACCCCAGTTCCAATTTAGCTCCCTGCTTGTGGCCTGAGAAAGCAGTAGAGGATGGCCTATAGCCTTGGGATCCTGCACTCATGCATGAGACCAAGAAGAAGCTTCTGGCTCCTGGTTTCAGAAAGGCTCAGCTCCAGCCACTGCAGCTACTTGGGGAATGAACCAGTGTATGGAAGATCTTCCTCTCTGTCTCTTCTACTCTCTGTAAATCTCCCTTTCCAATAAATAAATAAATAAATAAATATATTAGATATGTGGAATCATGTGACACCATATGTAAGTGACCATTCAGCTTTTGTATCTAGACCTCCCTGAGCAGGGAGCTGTGGGGCGTGTGGATGAAGGGGCATCAGGGCCCTGTGGATGCCTCCCCTGAGTCCCCTGGGCCCTGCAGGGCTGGTCCCTAGGGGGAACCAGACTTTTGGCCCTGGCCAGTCTTCTTCCACTAGTCTAGGGGAGATTTCCTCTGGGAATTCAGAGGACCTTCAGCAAACTCCAGGAAGAGGCATTTGCAAGAAGAAAGAACTTTTATACAAACCAACTCTTTGAATGTCTTCTCTGTTACTTGACAAAGGTCATCCAACAGGAACTAGAGATAATGATGGGATGGAGGAACTTAGGATGGCTAGGATATAAGGATAATATGCCCTTGCTCAAAAGAGCACAGTTTTGACTCTGTTATCATTTCATCTGTGTTGGCTGTTATTGTTCCTCATAATGGCGGTTCTCTATGAGTAATCCCAAGATGGTCTACTCGACCACCTTGGAGTTTATTAACTCCTACTCACACATGCTTATAAAGCAGAAGTACACTTCTAGGTGCTGGTCCTGAATGAGCACAACATATATAATTCACCGTGTGACCCTGAGCACGTCATCTCAACCCAGTAGCTCTGATTGTCCTTAGCTCTGAAATAAGGACTTTCCTAAACTTGACTGAACAGATTGCTTTAGCGGCTAAAGTCCTCGCCTTGAACGTATCGGGATCCCATATGGGCGCCGGTTCTAATCCCAGCAGCCCCACTTCCTATCCAGCTCCCTGCATGTGGCCTGGGAAAGCAGTAAGGACCGCCCAAAGCCTTGGGACCCTACACCCACATGGGAGACCTGGAAGAAGTTCCTGGCTCCTGGCTTTGAATTGGCACATCTCCAGACATTGAGGCCTCTCGGGGAGTGAACCATCGGATGGAATATTTTCTCTCTGTCTCTCCTCCTCTCTATATATCTGACTTTGCAGTAAAAATAAATCTTTGGGAGAAAAAAAAAAAAAAAAAAAGCCCGTGCCCATGCACTCCCAGTCATGTCCAGCAGAGGTCAGGAGACAACACTAAAACTCCAGGTCTGATCTGCCCCAGACAGTGGCATCAATACTTTCACCATACTGTGCTCTGTGTTACTAAACCTGACTTTTGAAGACTGGGCCAGGCATAAAAGCAGATGTTTTCCTTAAAGGATGAAAACAGAGATGCATGTTGCGCTTTGGGAGTCCCTGTCAAGTGTAAGGCATTTTTCTGCTACGCAATGCCAAGCCAGTGCCTGCAGGTGAAGTGACAGAGGTGACACACAGGTTTTGTGGCATCACTGTAACCAAGTTGGCTCATGGCAGCAGGATGGAGTTCACGAGAGCCCCCTCTGTATAACAAAGGATCCCTGAACTCTGGGGAAGGAGCCAGATATTCTGAAAATGACGCAACTCAACTAAATTCTTATGATTGCGGTGGAGGATGGTGGACAGGGTTTACTAACGTTTCTCTTTCTCTTACAAGTTCATCAGAGAAATGTTCTGGGAGAGTCCTAACGCACATCCCACCATGATAAGCATTTTCCGTGGCAGGAACTGCAGGCAGGGAGTGCCAAAAGGTGAACTGAGTTCCAAGAATGAAGACATGTAGGAAGTCTGGCAGCCAGACCAAGCCCAAATCAAGGAGCTGCTTGTAGAAAATGTGGTGTAGACGGAGGTGGATGGTTGGCAGTGTGAACTCGGTGAAGCCCCAGTCTGAGCTTGTCTGAGCCTCAGGGAAAGTCCCTGATCACCTCAGGAGATAAGCTGCTGGGTTTGCTTATCTGCAGAAAGGAGGAGGTGATGGCTCTCAGGAAGATGGCTGCAGAACGGTTCCATGAGATCATATGCACTGGTGGAGAGTGCAGCTTGACACCTGCCGGGTCCGGTGAGCAGTGAGAGCTGTTAGCCTGTGTTCATCCAAGGCGGGAAGAGGGGAGCAAGCCACCATGCCCCTTGCAAAGCCTTTTTCTAGACTCTAGCAGCCTGGGTTCAATGTCCCCACCTGGGTTGATTAGCTATTGCAGCGACACGCCCCAACCTGGCCCCCTGGCCACCCTAGGCCAGCCCAGCACCATGGTCATCCGGGACCCATCTCTGTTTGCATTCAGGGCTCTGCCCTCCCCCACTGGGGCAGGGACAGTTTGCGGTCCTTCCGGCTCTCGAGCCTCACATGAAGCTGGGGCCTGTGCTGGCTTGTCTGCTCTGGGTCCAGGGGCCAACCAACCCTCCATGTTTGGCTTTTACCTTCCTTCATCCTTTTTTTTAATTGGAAAGTCATATTTTTAAAAAATATATGTTTATTTATGTTTTCTGGAAAGAAGCAAAGAGAGACAGAAAAGTCTCCCATTGGCTGCTTCACTCCCCTAGTGGCTCCAACAGCTGGAATTGAGACAATTCAAAGCCAGGAACTTCTTCCAGGTCTCCCACAAGGGTGCAGGGTCCCATGGCTTTCAGCCATTCTCCACTGCTTTCCCAGGCCACTAACTGGGAGATGGATTGGAAGTGGAACAACTGGGACAAACCAGCTCCCATTTGGGATGCTGGTGCTTGGGTGCTTGTGGGTAGAAGATTAGCCAATTGACCCATTACGCCAGGCACTTTCTTCGTTTTCTTGAATACAGCTCTTGATTTGCTCCCTCTGTTCTTTGTCCCACTGCTATGACAAGCTCTTCCAGGTCTGTGCCACCTTTCCTACCAATATAATCCAAGGCTCTGCCAGGTGGGGTGGACGGTGTTGAGACAAGAGCAAGGGGCGTGTCCAGGTATGTCCTGCGCAAGGCCATGGATCTGCGTCGAGAGAAAGGACATCCATTGCCTGGCCTGGGCAGTCAGGCCCAGATGGGGGTCCAGCAGGGGCAGAAGCAGGAGTTAATAGGATTCCAAGGCTAAATCCTAGAGCAGGCATTCAGGGACCTCCTAATGACTTGTGTTCAAAACCAGAGACAAAAGGTTGGAGGGCAACAGTGCCGTTGACCAAGCGGGCCCAGGACTCCATGTGTTAAGTCTCTACCTCTCAGTGCCTCTGGTTGCTTCCGTGCAAAAGAGAGCAGAAGGAAGCGTCCATTCAAAGAGAAACTCCTGCTTCTGCCTCACCCAGTTCTGGTCATATGGCAGCGCCTGGGCTCAGCCCCATCCTGCCTCTGACCTCATGGAAGTGCAGCTGTCTCTGGCTGGAATATACCCGCCCCTAGACATCTCTGCTGAGCACCTCACTGCTCCTGTCTTGTTCCTCTCTGCCCCGACTTGTGTATTTGTTCTTTTTCTCCTTTCCTTATGGGGAAAGTCTTGTAGGCTGGACACTTGGCACAGGAAGCAGTTAAGAACCCTCTCGGGGTACCGGCCTCTCCTATCCCAGGGCTTGATGGGCATCTGAGCTCTCTTTCCTACGCTGGCCAGCAGCAGATGGTGACCCAACTGGCTGAGCCCCTGTGTGTGAGAAGTCAGACGGGACAGTAGGCAGGTAGGGTTTTCTCGTCCCCCAGTTAGTGTATTATCTCTTCCATGTCTCAAATTACCCAGAGACAAGGACAAAATTAACATATCAGCTCCCCTCCTAAAGCACCCGCCCAATTCCATCTCTGGGCCATTGTCAAGGGGTTAGTGTCTGAATGACCAGTTTGCCATTAGAAAGGGACTGAAGTAGTTAATCAGTAACACCTTTCTGAGCTTTTTGTCTCAGCCAGGTACCATGGAAATCAGAATTTTTCCTTTGCTTTTGGAGAAACTTCTTGGAAGTGAAATTTTAAAAGACATCATCTCCACTATTAACCGGGATTCTTTTTCCTTCCTCCTGCCAGTGTGCCAGCAGGTCTGGGTTTTTTCCTCTGGACACAGGGAGCCCCTTCCCCTCCCCCCACCACCATGGCAGGAGCCCTTTTTCCTTTTTTTTTTTTTTTCTAAAGAAATCCTGCTTTGCAAACTAGTTTGCAAGCATGAAAATTCTTTTTTCGTGTGAGACAAAAAACAAGGTTGCTGCCATGTTTTGCATTGAGACATCCTATAACACCTGCAAACCCTGTGAGTGTGCTGGAGAAAGCTCCTGTAGCCAGGACCCGTCTGGTCCAGCCGCAGCCATTGAAGCATTCAGGGTGTGAAGTAGCAGGTGGGAGATCTCTGCCTCTCTGCTGCTCTGTCTCTCTCCATCTCTCGTAGGTGCAAATATTTTTTTTAAAGATTTATTTTTATTGGAAAGTCAGATATACAGAGAGGAGGAGAGACAGAGAGGAAGATCTTTCATCTGATGATTCACTCCCCAAGCAGCCGCAATGGTCAGAGCTGAGCCAATCCAAAGCCAGGAGCCCAGAACCTCTTCCAGGTCTCCCATGTGGGTGCAGGGTCCCAAGGCTTTGGGCCATCCTCGACTGCTTTCCCAGGCCACAAGCAGAGAGCTGGATGGGAAGCGGGGCCGCAGGGATTAGAACCAGCACCTATATGGGGTCCCGTAGCATGCAAGGCGAGGACTTTAGCCACTAGGCCACTGTGCCAGGCCCGGTGAAAATATATTTTTTTTTAGAATTCTTTTTTCATGTAGTCTCACTACTGTGTGCTCAGTCACTAGTAGTTCAAGGAGTGACTGAGTGCAGGTTCCACAGGGGCAGCCCTCTGCCAGCTGGGATTACAGCCAATGCTACACCCTCTTACTAGTGATTCAGTGCCACAGCTGGCAGCGACCACCCCCACTACTCCGCCACAGCCCACCCTTCATTAGCAAAGTAACCACCTCTCCTTCCCCGCAGGAGTGGGGATGTGGGAGGCAGGCAGCAAGGCAGGCTCAGGAGTCTGTAAACATGCCTCTTTTTGACTCCCTGGAATTCCACTCTAATCTCACCACTCTGGCGGACTTATCCAAACCAGAATAAACTTCCTTTGGGCTGATAACTCCAGCTGGTTTTTCCACAGGCAGCCCAGACATCTCTGCTTACCCCCAAACCTCATGGATTAGTGACTACTCTGCTGGCCCCAGTGGGCTCGTCATTACACCTCTGCCTCTGTTTACCATCTGTCCCCTCACCCCAACCCCAGGGCCAGCACAATGTAGTGTGTAGCTGCACCTCCAAGAAACATAAAGCAAAGGATCTTGGGAAAGAGTCTAGACAAACATCCCCAACTCGCCACCTCCCCCCGCACAGGGGAGGGCATTGCTGCACGCTCTCGGTGAATGAGTCTGACTCTTTGCATCTCCCAAACACTAGGGTCAGCCAGGAGTCACAGAGGTGGCCAGGCGGTACTCAGGGGACACATCTGACTACAAACAGTGACACTGCCGTGGCTGGCAGCAGCTGCCCGCGGCCCACCCTCCTGCTAACCCCAGAGTGGAGCGGTCACTGTTCAGTTTATGGGGAAGGAAGAACTGTTTGGGGCTGTGGGGAGGAGGCAGCTCTAGGGGACACTTAGGGGAAGCCTTGAAGGATGGGTGGCCAGCACCCACAGAGTCATGAGGCCCTGAGACCTTTACTGACTCATCTCACCCTTCTAGTTCTTTCCAGGCTCCCAGCAAGAACAGGAGAGAATGCCCATGGGGGCTTAGGAACCACTAGAATCTATTGACATGCAGCCTCTGCCACCCCTGGTAAGGCTCTCTCTTGCTGTTCTTCCAGTTTTTGTTGTTGTTGTGTTTTTTATCTTTGCATCTTACCAGTAGAACTGGTCTCCCTTGATTCCTAGCCTGGCCACACTCGCAGGTGCTGAGTGACCCAGTGACCATCCCAGTAGCTCCCTCCCTAGCAGGATTCATTTTGGTTCCATGGTCTGGGTGAGATCCCTGTGCCCACATTTGGAGAACTCCTGGTCCAGATGAGAGTCCAATCCCTCACCTTGCTGGAACCAAGGCCTCACTTGGGAGCCCTGATTCAAGGTTGGTCTGAGGCTGCCCTGAAACCTCTTCTAAAGTTGCCCAGATGATTCACAGAAAGAATCCACAAAACCAACCTCTACAAAGTATCTGTCCCATCTGCCCTGGCAGGTGTATACCTGGGGCTTCTGTGGCTGGTACAGTCCTACCCTTGTCTGTTTGGGAAGCTCTTTTTATCCTGGGAAAATTTTCCTGTCTCCTCCAACATGATTCCAGAGGTGGGTTTGTGTTGGTCAGCTCCCACATGGGAGAGCTCGCTGTCTGGAGCTCAGAGCCAACTGCACGCCCTCCTGTGCTGCTTTAGCCTCAGACGCGCCAATCCCAAATCTACCTCTTGTCGCCACACTCACACTCCGCACTGCACTCCCATGCTCAGAACACCTTTCTCTCATGCCCCACCCCTTCTCACTGCTTCTGGTAGTCCTTTCCAGGCTGACATAGAAGCAAAGTAACTTTCCCTAATATGATGGAGCAATCAGACTGCCCCAAATGGAGAACCATACATGGTTGTATCACAAACAGAGACCTAAACTGTGCTTCTTTAAGAAGTTTACAAAATAGTAACATGGCATGGGCATGTAACCAACAGATTAGGGTGCCATTTAAGATATGACAGACCAAAGTGCTCCAGCCCCTGACTCCAGCTTCCTGCTAAGGCAACCTTGTGATGCAGCAGTGCTGGCTCGGGTATTTGGGTCTCTGTCTCACAGCTGGGAGCCCTGGATTGTGTTCCAGCTCCCAGCTCCCAGCTCCCAGCTCCCAGCTCCCAGCTCCCAGCTCCCAGCTCCAGCCTAACCTGTCTCAGTTGTTGGACGAGACTGAACCAGCAGATGGGAACCCTATCTCTCAAATACAGAAACAAAACATTTTTAAAAAATCATATTATAGTCAAAGCAAAATACAGGGTAGTTGTAGCTCAAAAAAGTATGCACAAATGGAATTACAAGACTGTTTGGGAACCACCCCCCTCCAAAATCAGAGATCCACACATGCATGGGATCTTCAAAATATTCATGGAAAATACACATCATGAAAAAGCTACACATAGGTTTTTTAAATTCTTGCAACAAAATCAGCCTATGTGAATTCCATTTTCCATGAACTTTTTAAAAAAGATTTATTTGGTTTTTATTGCAGTCAGATATGCAGAGAGGAGGAGAGACAGAGAGGAAGATCTTCCATCTGATGATTCACTCCTCAAGTGACCGCAATGGCCGGTGCTACGCCAATCCAAAGCCAGGAGCCAGGAACTTCTTCCAGGTCTCCCACACAGGTGCAGGGTCCCAAGGCTTTGTGCCATCCTCTACTGCTTTCCCAGGCCACAAGCAGGGAGCTGGATGGGAAGTGGAGCTGCCAGTATTAGAACCGGTGCCCATTTGGGATACTGGCACATCTAAGGCAAGGACTTTAGCTGCTAGGCCACTGTGCCGTGCCCTTCATGAACTTTTTGAAGCCCTTGCTCATTCTGGCAGGCACAGTGTCATCGCTGCTCCTGGCTCCAACCTTTCTGGAGGTGCCCACTGATGTCAGGCTTTCCTGAGTCTTCCAAAGATGCTCGCTCGATCTCCAATGCTAAACCTACTGAAGTGAGAAGGCACGATGGTGGGGTAGTGTCTGTGCCTGAGCAACCGAAGTAAGCCCTAAATGGATCCGAAAGTGCAGAGAGCAGGCGCTTGGTGACTAAGATGTCCCTCAGAACACCTGCATCTGTACGAAAGTGCCTGTCTTGGCTGCGCTTCCGTTCCAGCTTCCTCCTGACACACAACCCTGGGAGGCAACAGAGGATGGTTCAGATATCTGCACCCCTGCTTCCCACATCGGAGACCCAGAGTAAGTGCCTGGCTCCTGGCTGTGGCTGTCACTTAGGGAGAGGCTCGGAAGACAGATCTCTTTATCTTTGCCTGCTTGTCTCTCAGCCTTGCAAATCAATTTTGAAGATTCTGTGAAGAGGTAAACGAGCAGCTCACACACCACAAGGATTAGGTTCAGAGTGACGCGGTCTAGGCTGATGCGCCCCCCCCCCAGCACCACGTCTGTGCCCCAGTAAGCATGACTGCCCTTCTGCTGCCCTCTTTACCACTAGCAGTGCATAAACTTGGGGGACCTCATTTCACCCGGTCACCCCCCCAAGGTCTGGCACATGCCTCTCCCACAGGGGTCCAAGCTCCAGATGCACAAGGGAGGCTGGGAAAGGGAAATGATGGGTTGATTTCAGGTGTTCCAATGGAGAGAAAGTGAGTGCTGCCTTTCAATCAATCTATGAAGTTGGGAGCTCTGAATCCAAAGAATGGGGTTCAAATGTCGGATTGTGAAGAGAAGGTCCAGGACCAGTACTGTGGTATAGTGTGCTGAGTGGCCACCTGCAGTGCCAACATCCCATATGGGTACTGGTTTGAGTCCTGGTTGCTCCATTTCCAACCTAACTCCCTGCTAATGGCTTAGGAAAGCAACCAAGGATGAACCAAGTGCCTAGGCACCTGCACCCACATGGGTACCCAGAAGAAGCTCCTGGTTTCTGGTTGGCTTTGGAACAGGCACAGCTACAGCTACTTTGGTCATTTGGAAGGAGTGAACTGGCAGAAGAACAGGCTTTTGAATAAATAAATAAATCTTTAAAAGAGAGGGTGAGAGAGAAGAGAATCTCCTCCACATAACAGCAGTGGGCACCAGGAAGGTGGAGGGACCTTTTGCTGGGGGTGATAAGACCCTTGCAGGGGCAGGAGGGCGGAGCCAGGGAGTGCAGTTGATGCAGGGGCAGGAACACAATGCGTGAGGCATCACTTCACTGTCCACACCGTGGTGAGAGTTGCCAAAGCAAAACCGCATGCTTGGGGAAATTGCAACACAGGAAGAGCAATTGAGCAATCCCCAAACAAATGAAGTCTACATATGTTGAGAGAGGAAGGGGAGGCTATTTCCCTAATGTGGGGAAGAGTTGAGCTGCGTTGCAAAGAGGATTGCACTGCCACCTCTGAGTATGGAGTACGGAGAGCCAGCTTGCTGACACCACCTCCCACAGTGCGGAGAATCAGAAGCAACACAACCCTGTGACCCCTGGGAGTTGGGAAAGACGCCCTTCCACCGGTCCCCTCCCTTAGTGTCATTCCCCCCGGCCCCCTGGCAGGAAGGAGGGAAGTGTCCAGTAGCTGGGGAGGACCGTTAAGCCCAGCTCTGCCCACCGACAGCCTTCCCTTGTCAGCGGGCCAGCTTCGAGCCGGCCAGTGAGGGAGCCAGCCTGTGAGAGGTGCCAGCTTTCAGCGCTGTCTGCTACCTGACAGGTGGGTCTACCTCTAGGTAGTGTTTGGAAATTTGTGGTTTTCAGTTTCATCTAAGCTACACCCTTGATCCTGGCAGGCACCTTCATCAGCTGTGAAGGATGTTGGAACCTGTCTGTACCTATTTTACTCCGTTATGACTCAACAGCGCCCAGCTCAGACACAGTTAAAAAAAAAAAAAAAAACAGGATACTCATTACTGATGTCTCACTCAGTCCCACCAGTGCAAACATATCATTTGCCAAATAGTACAGGATTCAACTTTTTAAAAAAGAGCAACCGAGAACAAAGGAGAGATAAGTAACAAAGGGATCCTCCATCAAATGGCTACAGGAGACAAGTCGAGGCCACCTGAACCCAGGAGACTGAAACTCCAGCCTGGTCTCATGCAGGTGGCAGGGGCCCAAGTACTTGGGCTGTCTTCACAGTACACGAGCAGGAAGCAGCACTGGAAGCAGAACAGGAACAGGACTTGAACTAGTGTTCCAACACGAGATGAGGGTGACCCAAGTGGCAGCTTATTAACCTCTTCCTTCACCATGCTGGCCCCAGGAGGACTCAATGTGTGATTATTTTAGGCAGTGGGACTCTCGGGCCTGGGGATGCACTGCAGAGCGCTGGCTGTTTGTTCAGCACCTCAGAGCTCCCACGCTGAGGAGACAGTGGTGAAGTTTGCAGTCCCGTCTTCCTTCTCCTGGGCATCTCCATCAGAGAGCAATGCTTTCTTCCATCAGAAGAAAATGCTTATTTTCTCAGACTTCCTTGTAGCACAGAGTGTCACATGACACGGTTTCAGTCAGGGAAGTCAAAGCTAAAGAATTCTGAAAACCTTTGGGAAATGTTTTGGTTTCTTCAATGCAGCCAGAAGGCCTGAAGCTGTAGGGATACAAGGCAATATGTAGGGGCTGGCATTATGCTGTGGTGGGTGAAGTCACCAGCTGTGGAGCCAGCATCGCACATGGGTACCAGCTCAAGGCCAGCTCTCTGCAAATGGCCTAGAAAAAGTGGCAAGAGATGGACCAACTATTTGGGCCCTGCATGTATTTGGGAGACCTGGATGAAGCTCCTGGCTCATGTTTTCTAGTTTCAGACTGGTCAAGCCCTGCCTTATGTGGTCATTTGGGAAGTGAACCAACAGGTGGAAGATCTCTCTCTCTTTTGTACTCACTCTGTGTGTGTGCACGCATGCATGTGCCTTTTTTCTCTGTAACTCAGCCTTTCAGATAAACTAATAAATAAATCTTAAAAAAAAACATATGTAAGATCTAAAGCTTAATTATTAAAGACAGAGTGAAAGACAGAAAGGGCTTGAGTTCCATGTTGCCTTGCTGAGCAGTTGAACCGACACCACCATCTGCTGATCACCAACTTATGATGCCAGGAAAGCAAACTCATTTCTTTAACAAGAAGTCAGATGTTGGGCTATTTACAGCCTAGTGCGCTTCAAGGGGCCTGGCATTGTGGCACAGTGTAGATTAAGCTGTATCCTGCGATATCAGCATCCTGTATCTGAGTATAGTTTGAGTCCATCTGCTTCACTAACAATCCCTACTAAGGTGCCTGGGAAAGCAGTGGAGGACAACCCAGGTGCTTGGGCCCGGCCAGCCTTGCAGGAGACCTGGATGAAGCTCCAGGCTCCTGATTTCAGCCTGCTCCAGACTTGATTGTTACCTGGAACACCATCCAGATCTCCCACATAAAACTTTTTAAGTCCAACTCAAGGAGTCAGCACATTGACTCAACTGGCATATCTTCTACCTCCAATCGCCGACATCCCATATGGGTGCCAGTCCGTGTCCCAGTTACTCTACTTTCCATAAAGCTCCCTGCTTATGGTCTGGGAAAGTAGAGAAGGCTAGCCCAATGCCTTGGGATCCTGTACCCATGTGGAGACCCAAAGAAGCTCCTGGGTCCTGGGTTCGGATTGACTTAGACTATTGAGACCAATTGGGGAGTGAACCAGCAAATGGAAGATCTGTGTCTCTTCTCCCTATAAATCTGTTTTTCCAATAAAAATAAAATTTTAAAAAATGTGCAGCTCATGCACTCTCAGCCACACAAGTTGCCTCAGGCTGAGGGTGGGGGATTGACCACAGACAAAGTACTTGACCTCTGAACTGGAATTCCACAATGGAGGGTAAGAAAGGTTCTTCCCTGTTTCACACCGAGGCTCTTGCCAGGAGAATGGAGGGAGGATGCGCAGCCCATGGGACAGGGTCTTGCCTGGGACAATTTCTCTTCCTTCTTCCCTCACCGCCCAGTGGAAGTGCTTCATGATTTCTAGCCACACATGTGTCCAGTGCCACTCCCCCACCCTCCCCCTCCTGGGCCAGCCGTGGGAGACTGCAGCCAGTGGAAAGGGCTCTGGTGTCTTGTCTGAGAGCCTTGTGTAGGGAATTACCGAGATGTCCACTCGCGCCCCACTGCCATCATCCTCTGAGACAGCTGCTGCACCAGCTTTCTGCCTTGCCTGACACTGCCCTAGCTGGCAAGGCCCACGGAGGAGCGTCTGGTACAGGGCCCAGTGTCTCCTCGAAAGGTTACTGCCCAGCAAACCTGTGCCTGCTGGCTGGCACAAGGGTAAACAGAGCAAGGCAGACAGGAGAGCCACCCTGGGAGTCAGGAAGGAGACTGGCGGCTGGCTCTGATGTGTGTGTGGGTTAGTGGTGGGATGTATTTATCTGTAATGTCAAGCAGCTCTACGGTTACCAATGGATAACAGACAGTCTTCAACTCCCCCACTTAACGTGGACAGTCCTGTGGCATGGAGCTTGCTGTGATGTAGAGCCATCCTCACAAATTTGCAGCACTTAAAAGAAAAAATCAATTTGTTTATTTTGAGAAGCAGAGAGACAGCTCTCATCAGCAGGGATGCTGAGCCTACAGGCCAGGGCACTGTGGGGGCTTAGGGACAACAGGTCAAGGACAGTGCAGGGGATACCCTGGACCCAAGAAAGGTTTCAGGATTTCATTTCTTCTCACTTCATGTCAACAGCTACTTAGTGGTAGCTTCCCAAATGTGTCTGAAGCTGTACAGAAAGAAAGAAATCTAAAGATCCATTTGGCAAATAGGCATCCCCGTGAGAAGGGCGGCTGGGAGTAAGTAGTGTGCATGGAGGAGATGCCACTCAAGATGGCTTTGAAATGTGAGTGTGAGCTTGCTGTATGAACAAACAGAGTGAAACCACAAGGGCGTAAGCAGAGCCCAGGAAGCTCCACCAGTGGCCCCTGAATGAATCCGTATGTTCGTGCAGGACATTAGGATTCAACATCCCCCACCCCATCCCTCACGGCCTCACAATAGGCAGCTTGAGTAGAAGGACCCGACTGGGGTCTGGGGTCCTGATCACTGCAGAAGGGTTCCAAGTTCAAGTCTGTTTCCTTATTTCCCAAGTGCACATTAAGCACAGCCCATCATACCCAGGCTTGTACACATATAGTACCTCATTCCAGCTTGGAGGAGGTGGGGATGGTCATGGCACCAAAAAGGGGATTGGTGAGAGTCAGAGAGAGGGGCCTCGGAAGATGCCCCCTGTGGAATCTATGCCTCTGCCTGTGCAGCTTACCCAGTGTCTACAGCCGTGTAATGAGTAACTTTGTGATGACGTCAAGAGCTGAACCTGTGGTGTAAAACAGACTCTCTTTTCAACCCCTAAGTGCCAAAATACATCCCATTGGCCTCGGACCTTTGTCCTCTGGCACTTGGAGCGAGGCCAGTCTTGGAGTTCCTAGAAGCTCCGGGCGAGCTGCCAGCTGCCTGTGCGTTTTACGGCAGCCTTTCACCTGCCACTCCAGCCATGTGCTAGGAGTAGCAGCTTCCCGACATGGGCCCTCAAGACCCAGCACAGCAGTCACACAGGGAAAGAAAGTGTCACCCACATAGCCAAGATCTTGCAGGGAAGGCAAGTCCAGCCTTGGCCAACTCCCGGCAAAGCCAGAACATCAGGCGCCGGTTCTGCCCTTTGTCTTCCCAGGCTGGCTATTGAGCTCTCTCACCATGGCTCACGGGCGGTGTGCAGGCAGGTAACTAGCAAGCAACATGCTCTCTCTTCTTCCGGAAAGCTGGCAAGCATGCGGGAAGATGAGGGAACATCCTACTTTGTTGCCCCGAAAGAAAATCCACCAGATTCCTAGGATCTCCAAACAGACCAGATGAAAAATGCAGGATAGCCAAGAATCCTGGCAGAGAAGGCTTTCCTACTCAGATTCAGGATTTAAAAAAAAAAAATCTTCTTTTCTTCTCTTGCTAAAGGGAATGCTGATTAAGGCCCCAAGAACTAGCAGCTGAAGTCCTTAAAGTTTAAGGCGAAAGAACGTCCTGACATCCTGCCGGGAAGAGCAATGCTTGCAGAATCTTCCCACGGCCTAATGTGCCACCCTCTGCACAAGCGGCCTTGGTTTCAGATTCCCTTAACAGAGCACAGTGTAAGGATTTCCTGGACCCACACTGTCCCTGTAGACTGTTCTGGGCTGTATCAGAGCCATCCCCTCTGGTGGCCGCTATTGTCCTCAAGTGTTTGCAGAAATGTGGCTACCACCTTACATGTCTGAGTTTGAGTCTTAGCTCTGCTCCTGACTCCCAACTTTATGTGACTGCACAGCCTGGGAGATGCAGTGATGGCTCAAGTCGTGGGGTCCCTGCTGCCCAGAGGGGAGGCCTGGCTGGCGATCCTGATGCTCATCATCCGGGGAGGGAGTCAGGAGGTGGTGTTCTCTTCTCTGTCTCTTTATTTTTCAAATGAAGTTAATTCTTTAAAAAAAAAAAAAGATTTGTTTATGTTTATTTGAAAGATTTACAGAAAAGGAGACAGAAAGATCTTCCATCCGATGATTCACTCCCCAAGTGACTACAATGGCCAGAGCTGAGCCAATTCAAAGCCAGGAGCCAGGAGCTTCTTCCAGGAGGTCTCCCATGCAGGTGCAGGATCCCAAGGCTTTGGGCCATCCTCTACTGCTTTCCCAGGCCACAAGCAGAGAGCTGGATAGGAAGCAGGGCTGCTGGGATTAGAACTGGTGCTCATATGGGATCCTGGCGTATGCAAAGCTAAGACTTTAGCCACTAGGCTACTTTGCTGGGCCGCAATAACCCAGATTTTAACCATTAAGGAAGATCCTAGTTGGGATTGATTAATCATAAAAAAAGCAGTCACCTAATTCTTAAATAGAACAGTTTTTACTTGTTCATCTTAACAATCAATAATGGGAACTAGCATTGTGGCTCAGTGAGTTAAACTGCCACCTGGAATATCATATAGACCCCAATTTGAGTCCCCACTGCCCTACTTCTGATCAGTTCCCTGCTAATGCACCTGGGAAAGCAGCAGAGGCTGGCCCGAGTGTTTAAACCACTGCTATCTATGTCAGAAGCCTGGGTCCTGGTTTTGGCCTGGCTAGCATAGTCATGTGCAGAGTGAACCAGCAGATGAAAGATTCAGCCTCTGTTTCTCTCTCTCATTTGCTCTCATTGTGTGTGTGTGTGTGTGTGTGTTGTTGTTCTCTCTGTAACTCTACCTTTCAAATAAACAAACGCTTTTGAAAATTCAAGGATGGCTGAGTGACTGCTGGGTCAGGTTTAAGATGGACTACAGGAGGGAAGGGGGAAGTGCTGCAGGGACCTCAGCTGACGGGCTCACCGACTCCAGGTGTCTGATGGTGCTCCGGCCCAGCTTCCTGAGACTAACCTTGCAGGATCAAGCCTTGGGGACCTGGGTTCCAGGCAGAGCCCAGCTAATTATACCCACCTACCCTGGACAGGTCCTGCCCACACCGCACACCCTCACTTTCTCTGTAGGGATAGCCACTTGTAAGCGCGAGCCTATAAGAAAAGCTTATGGGTAAAAAGTGACAGTAAATGATGTGGTTAGTCCAAGGTCTACTTTTATCTTTTATTTCTGCTCTTTCTGATTAGGAGATGTTAGTATCCAGGATCTCCATGAATTTCCAGGATGTTCTTTCCCGGGGGGATGGGAGGCCGGCTGTCATCGAGGTCCTCTTCCATGCACACTGCTTGCTATTTGGGAGAAATTTTTCTGCGTTCCCGAAACGTGGACATTGTCCTTTTCAGTTGTGGCACAGATGCTTCATTTGTTTGTCTTTTATTCCTTTGAATCAGGGACCGAGGGTGTGCAGTGAGATGGGATTCGATGCTGTACTTCAAAGTCACTGAACCAAAA